ATAGCACTCCCGCTCAGATGGGACCGAGCCCCCTTCTTTTCATGTAAAATCCTCGTACATTGTGCGACGATCAGGTCATGTGTGTACACGAATTGTTTAGCCTCCCCTCCCAGTCATCCTGACTCTGTATTGCCATCGGGTCCAAGTGGGTGAGTGTTTCGGATGCTACGCAAAGCGACTGTCAACCTAAATTAATTCACTTGCAAGTCACTGTCCCTACGTCTGCTATGCTGCCAGGTTCACTGTGGACAGTGTCACATGCGACTTTCCGCTGTTAAGTATCACTGTTCACGGTTATTTTTGCACGAGCCAAGAACAGTAAGTCGCTTGGCCTTTGAGTTTGGTTTGTGTTCTACGATACTTGCTCTTCAGGCAGTCGCACTGCGACAATTAGCATACCCTGAAGGAGATTACTGACAAATTTTAACCTGCTGTCTGATGTTGTCAGTATTCTTGTTTAACTCTTGAACACTATCATGAGCTGCATAACAGCAGTGGTTGTGTGCGGTTTTTAACTCTTTTTATTCCTTCCCTGTAGTAAAATGCCTCTGCCGGAGCATACAATTCAGCCCTCACACATCAGTCTGGTCTCAGTTTCACAACAGATTAAAAATGAGCTTGAGTTTGTCTCGAACGAGAGCTTCTGCAATCTCATGTATCAAATGTCTTCCGTGATTAACGCAGCCGTGGACATCTTCGATGAACTTTCCACTAAACTGGCCTCCCTGTCTAATCGTTTTGATTCAGTAGAACAGAGGGTTGCAAGCATGTCCGAAACAGCAAAACAACTACCGACGAGTGAAGACTGCCTGTCTGTCGGTCTGCAGAACCTCTCTATGCAACCATTCGCCGGCACGCACACAGAGGACAGTCAGGTACGTTTAATGCCCCCTGATAGTTTTTTATGTGCTGTTATTGTCAAATCATACCCTCACTGCTGCCTTATGTATCAAACCGTGGGAATTATAAAGTTAGCAGTCGAAAACGGGCAATCGAATGACGAGATATGAAGCCAGTCGATGAAAAAAATACTAGCTTGTTTTGCCCGTCATCACTTAGGTAGCCTTTTCAGCACTGTGTCCATCCCACCTCGGGCGACCGATCAGCTAGATGGTGGCCCGTTGCTGACAGTGGGGGAGAGAGTAAGGTTGATTCTCAGTGCATTTCCTTCGCTATAAAAAATGTGATGCGCTTTAAACTATCGTGGTGCGCTAAAAGACGTAGTTTGGAGGGTCGCCAACTGAAAGTATAACTCAGACACCGCAATTGGCCCAGTGCGTATCTTGTTGTGTGGAGTGGCTTTCTGCGGGCTG